GGGAGGAACCCCCCCCCCCCCCCCCTTCCAAGGGAGACTCAATTGAGTTGGTATTCCTAGGTCTTTTTAAGTATCTTAACTAGGTTAATTTAGGGTCAGCCTCAATATTGGATTAAACAATTTGGTTAAGATCGATTAAGTCGTCCAACCTTTGGGTTGAGTGAGGGAGTAAGTCAACCATTGATTTCCTAAATCGAGAGGGCCAAGTGACAGCCTATAATGCATGCCTTGGTTTAGCAACCATGAGTATGGTCTACGGCCATATTTGCGTCTCCTAGCGATTAGCGATCACCTTGCCCAAAGCAATCATTTCGGTTCACATACCATGATAGTAGTTAGGGGGAAGCGACACCCGAGTGATCCTTCTCACAAAAGAGCTTTCAAAACCATTCACTTTTGTCTTGTTTTATTTCAATTAGCAAACTTTTTAACCAAAACCTTGTCGCTAGATAATGATTCGAAATGATTGCCATAGCAATCATTTCGGTTCACACCATGGTAGTAGTTAGGGGGAAGCGACACCCGAGTGATCCTTCTCACAAAGGAGCTTTCAAAACCATTCACTTTGTCTTGTTTTATTTTAACTAGTTTTTTGGCCCGCACTCCGCAGCGGTAATAAACTAATTATATTAATTGATATGATAATTTTTAATTAAATTTTCAGTTTAAAAACCACCATAAACTTTATGTTTGATTAATTAATTAAGAATTATATTATAATTTAATAGTGATACATAAGAAATAATATTAGTTCATAAGGTTTACGTAGTGTCTTAATCATTATGAAAGACCCAAGTGCATATTTGTTTAATTGATATGTAATAAATAATTATATCTTCATAACTTTTACGTAGTGTCTTAACATTAGTAAGACATATGCAAATTTTTTATTTAATTGATTATCTCTCACGTAATATATTTTTAACTTACATTACTGTTATAGAATGTTGTTACATGTATATAGATCTTCTGTAAGGTGTGATCTAATAATAAAATCATGTGATGAAAATTACCAGATTTAATTAAGATGCAATGTAAAGTAAAATTTACTTGATGTTACGTAATACTTGCGTAATATAAATTGATGACATAGTGGATATTTTACGAAAAATTGTCTCATTTAAATAAATACTTTCTAAAAGCTTATCTACAAAAAATTTGTGCAATGTCAATTGATGAGATAATCTCTCCATAAGTTTTACATAATGCATTTATAATGTACATAACTATTATAGAATAATTAATTAATTAAAACTGCAAGTAACTAAAAAGTAGAGACACTCATTAAAATATCACATTTGATTAAAAATAAATGAAGTGAATTTGATGGAAATGTACACGTGTAATCTTCTTAGAAATGTAGATATATGTAATTGTTACCTAATATATTTGTTTAATTGATACATAAAATATATATCTCTCCATAGTTACGTAAATATTTTGTAATGTGTAGTCTAATAATACAATCAAGTGACAAAAAATATCATATTTTATTAAATTATTAAAAATAACTAAAGTGGACTTGATGGAAATGCACACGTGGTAATCTTCTTTAAAATGTAGATATATGTAATTCATACCTAATATAATACATATTTTTTTAATTGATACATTAGAAATATCCATCTCTCCTTAAGATATACGTAATGCATTTGTAATTTATGTAAGTATGATAAAACAATTTAATTGGTACCAATAAGTTTTACATAATGCATTTATAATGTACGTAACTATAGAACCGCGTTACGTAAATATTTCATGATGTGCGATTTAATAATGCAATCAATTGACAAAAAACTATCATATGTGATTAAATATTATAATGTACGTAACTATTATAGAACAACGTTACATAAATATTTCATGATGTGCGATTTAATAATGCAATCAAGTGACAATTATATCATATGTGATTAAATATTAAAAATAAAAATATATTTGCATGCCCTAAACAAAGGAAACTTTCGGCCAGCCTCTAATGATTTATGCCAAATTGAAGTAAGTACACATGCCTGCAGGGAAAAATTACTTTTATGAACAATAAAATTGTAGGCGAGATTATCGTATGGAACAGTGCCCTACTTTTTAGTTACTTGCGGCATTAATTAATTAATAATGTAGATATATGTAATTGTTACCTAATATATTTGTTTAATTGATACATAAAATATATATCTCTCCATAGTTACGTAAATATTTTGTAATGTGTAGTCTAATAATACAATCAAGTGACAAAAAATATCATATTTTATTAAATTATTAAAAATAACTAAAGTGGACTTGATGGAAATGCACACGTGGTAATCTTCTTTAAAATGTAGATATATGTAATTCATACCTAATATAATACATATTTTTTTAATTGATACATTAGAAATATCCATCTCTCCTTAAGATATACGTAATGCATTTGTAATTTATGTAAGTATGATAAAACAATTTAATTGGTACCAATAAGTTTTACATAATTCATTTATAATGTACGTAACTATAAAACCGCGTTACGTAAATATTTCATGATGTGCGATTTAATAATGCAATCAATTGACAAAAAACTATCATATGTGATTAAATATTATAATGTACGTAACTATTATAGAACAACGTTACATAAATATTTCATGATGTGCGATTTAATAATGCAATCAAGTGACAATTATATCATATGTGATTAAATATTAAAAATAAAAATATATTTGCATGCCCTAAACAAAGGAAACTTTCGGCCAGCCTCTAATGATTTATGCCAAATTGAAGTAAGTACACATGCCTGCAGGGAAAAATTACTTTTATGAACAATAAAATTGTAGGCGAGATTATCGTATGGAACAGTGCCCTACTTTTTAGTTACTTGCGGCATTAATGCAATCAATTGACAAAAAACTATCATATGTGATTAAATATTATAATGTACGTAACTATTATAGAACAACGTTACATAAATATTTCATGATGTGCGATTTAATAATGCAATCAAGTGACAATTATATCATATGTGATTAAATATTAAAAATAAAAATATATTTGCATGCCCTAAACAAAGGAAACTTTCGGCCAGCCTCTAATGATTTATGCCAAATTGAAGTAAGTACACATGCCTGCAGGGAAAAATTACTTTTATGAACAATAAAATTGTAGGCGAGATTATCGTATGGAACAGTGCCCTACTTTTTAGTTACTTGCGGCATTAATTAATTAATAATGTACGTAACTATTATAGAACAACGTTACATAAATATTTCATGATGTGCGATTTAATAATGCAATCAAGTGACAATTATATCATATGTGATTAAATATTAAAAATAAAAATATATTTGCATGCCCTAAACAAAGGAAACTTTCGGCCAGCCTCTAATGATTTATGCCAAATTGAAGTAAGTACACATGCCTGCAGGGAAAAATTACTTTTATGAACAATAAAATTGTAGGCGAGATTATCGTATGGAACAGTGCCCTACTTTTTAGTTACTTGCGGCATTAATTAATTAATGTAATTCATACCTAATATAATACATATTTGTTTAATTGATACATTAGAAATATCCATCTCTCCTTAAGATATAAGTAATGCATTTGTAATTTATGTAAGTATGATAAAACAATTTAATTGGGTCCAATAAGTTTTACATAATGCATTTATAATGTACGTAACTATAGAACCGCGTTACGTAAATATTTCATGATGTGCGATTTAATAATGCAATCAAGTGACAAAAAATATCATATGTGATTAAATATTATAATATACGTAACTATTATAGAACAACGTTACGTAAATATTTCATGATGTGCGATTTAATAATGCAATCAAGTGACAATAATATCATATGTGATTAATATTAAAAATAAAAATACATTTGCATGCCCTAAACAAAGGAAACTTTCGGCCAGCCTCTAATGATTTATGCCAAATTGAAGTAAAATTGGGTACACATTCCCGCAGGGAAAAATTACTTTTATGAACAGTAAAATTGTAGGCGAGATTATCTTATGGAATAGTGTCCCTACTTTTTAGTCACTTAGCGGCATTAATCAATTAATTAATTAGCAAAATTTTCAACCAAAACTTTGTTGCTAGATAATGATTCGAATGACTGAAGTAGGGGTAGAGGGACCGGCCCGGGTCGATATTTAAACATACTTATCGTGTACTGCACCCGACTAAGGTTTATACTTGGATCTTAGGCGGGATTTTATTGTTGTATTCGAGACGAGTCAGGCTCCGAAGCTCGGGACGATGACCAGAATGGACCTAGGAGCAACCTACTCATTTGTCGCCGTTTCCAGAACCCTGAACGGAGAGCCTCATAGGCGAGGCCGCCCAAAATCAGGCACCTTAACCCCGAACGCAGACGAAAAAGTGGCTACGACTCATTTTAATCGGTGCTGGTGCTGGATGGAATAAAAAACGCCAGGAGGACTGGCGACCCGACATCGGAAGAATTTCAGATCTTGCTTTGTCGCCAAAATCTCCATTAGAGCCTTCAAGAAGGAAGAAGAAACGGTCTCTTTACATGAGATTGGAGGAAGATATGCGTCTCTACCGTCGAAGTCGATATCGGCGATCTTGCCGGTGGCGGAGGAGAGAGCACGGAAGAGAAGCAGCTGACATGGAGATGGGAGGAGAAGGAGACGGGGAGATGGAGACGAGGAAGGTGTGGATTGAAATTTTATTTATTAATTTTCATTTGTTATTTTTTTGTTAGTTTTACCTTTTGTTGTTACAGTAACAACAAAAGGGCAGCGGCGGATCCAGAACAGGTTAGAGCACTGGACCGCATTTAAAAAGCGATGGAGAAGGTTGGGCCATAACCCAATAAACACTGAAATATATACCCAAAATCGAAAATTTACAAGTGCTATACGAGTTTTGGATCCGGGGAGAGCTGAGCCTTGGCCCGGGGGCGGCCCCCTAGATCCGCCGCTGCAAAAGAGGTGTTGTTATAGTATCCGCACCGTGATTCGATCCATGAGTTCAAGCTTTAGTATTTACGCGTGGCAGATACTAATTGGTGGAAAGTGCGTGGAGCTGCCCGAGTGGAGCCAAACCCATTTGGCATTTGGGTATATAAACCGAAAAGTCGTGTTTATTTGAGATGGTGAAATTTCAGTCCATATCAGACATCAAATAATCGATTTTCTGGTTCGCGCGAGGGTTGCAATCTCGGAACTGATCGTCTCGGCACTCGCCTGCAAAGTGAGTTTCCTTGATCTCTTGCTTCTTGCACTATTCTTTTATACCGTTCGCTGTCGTCGACCATAGATCTGGTGTCCCTGCATCGTGGATGGCAGGAAGGATAGGGTTTGTGGAATGGGTTTGGCGATTTGCATGCAGTTCAATTGGATTGTTCTTCGCAGATAGTTCATGTCTGATTGAAGTTACAGCGAAATTATGGCAGGAGTTCGGCGCGTTCTTAAGGAACGGAGCTCAGATAAAGCTGTTTGTTGTTCTTTGGGGTGGGACGGATCTAATATGAGTATTGGTGCCGAAATTGATATGCGAATCCTAATTGTTTTGTTTTTTCCCCCTATCAGTTGGTTTAGAGAAAAAACTCATATAGCTAGCGTCCCTAAGCAATAGGAATTCTTCGTGTAACTGCTAATCAATCTACCTCAGACATCTTGTTTATGTGCGTTTAGGGATTCCAGTTTCAGTTGAATTTTGATTGGATGCGAAACTGGAATCCACATCGTTTTATCCGCTGTTCTTCTTGTAACGGAATTCTGATGTGTTATCTGGATGGAGCATATGGTACCAATTGTTGGTTGCTCGGGCATGTGGATGCATTTTCAGATTGGGGATGTCTCTTTTTACTTTGTTATATTTCATGATAGAGCGAGCATGTGAATGGTGACCCAAGTTGGTGCACGCACTTAGACGACCTCTTTTTAGATTGAACTGGGCTGACTAGTGCAAGGTGCCTACACTTATGTTAACAGCCTGGGTTGCCTAGAGCTAGCATGAGCGCTGTCTGACTGTTTGTTTTTTACTATGATACTGAACCATAATTCTCTCTGGTCAGTTGTAGAAATGGCACTAGGTGGAACTGCTCCCCCAAGAGGAAGTGCAGCTGCCGCTGCAAGCATGCGCCGGAGAAGGACCACGGGTGGCGCTGGTGCTGGTGGGGGTGGTGGTGCTGCAGGAGGAGCAGCGGGAACCATGCTCCAGTTTTATACTGATGATGCTCCGGGACTCAAAATATCGCCTAATGTCGTACTGTTTATGAGCATCGGCTTCATCGCCTTTGTTGCCATTCTCCACGTTGTGGGTAAGATATACCTTGTTCGGAGGGAGGCTTGAAAGACGTGATGGATGCCTTGTGGGTTGACAGCAGCGGAGCTACTCTCGTTCTGTGCTTTTCCTGTATTTCCTTGACAGTTTTTATGCACCAAGTGCTAACTTTAGGTCAACGTTGTATAATTTCTGCTCTACTCGGTTGGATTAGTTGGATTGTGTTAGAGATATAGTCTCTTCTGATACAAACACACATTATCAGTTTTGGTGCCTTGACCTATTGTGGGTACTTCTTCCCTTCCCTTCCCTTGGAGTAAGGAGTCTGTGGTAGGGGAACGGATTTTATTGAAGCTTAGGGCAAAGAAAGAGTTAGCCGACAGATTGCAACATGGCCAGGAAAATAACGCAATCCGTGAGGTCTGTACATCCAAGAGTCTCCCCGTGAATGAGCATAAGATCCCAACAACTGCAACCAAGCAAGCATTCCACCTAAATCACCAACTGGTCTAGCGGTTTTGAAATTAACCTCCCCTATGATCTAAGACCTATTTGTGAAATAACAAACCTGTAGACCCCAGCAAAACATATTTGTGATGGATCCCATTGCCATCTGCTCCAAGTTATCTAAAACCTCCAAGCTAGGAAAGAGTGCATTCTTTACATTGCACCTGAGGATACAAAAAGAAATTGAAGGGAGTGGATTGATTTATGAGCATTTGGATTTAAAATTCTTCAAGCATGACAGATGAACAGAGTTGCGATGGCCAATGTATTTTTACTAAAGGGGACAATTTGAACGCAATCCACCAATTCCATCAATTGATCCTTTAAAATATTCAATTAATCCAATTCATTTAATTCAAATGTAACTGCATCTGAATTAGTGGATTTATGGAGAGGAGAGTAAATCTTACAGTCCTGCTCGTTTATTTAATATAATTTATTGATCATCTCATCTCTTCATGGACTCCACTTACGGGTCAAGATCTGGTGACTAGGGGAGGGGGGGGGGTCATTAATCACTTGACTAAGCCCCCCTCAGCCTTTGAATTGATTTACTGGTCCAAATAAATTAATAAATTATTATTAAATGAGAAGGGTAGTTTTGGCATTATCAGAAATTCATTAAATCCTTATTTCGGTTTTGTTTTATTTATTACTATTTATTTCTTTTTTTCCCCTATCCAACCATCTCCTCCTTTCCCCTTTCTTGCGATGTCCAGAGAGAGAGAGAGAGAGAGAGAGAGAGAGAAAGAAATGGCGGAGGAGAAAGATCCCAACACCCGTGGAGGAGAGAGATTGCAGCACCGGTGGAGGAGAAAGAGAAAGAGAAAGAGAAAGGCGGCGACATTGGTGGAGAAAGAGATGGCGGCGGCGACGAAGATGGTGGGGGAGAGAGAAACATAGCAAGATGCGGATTTGTCGGAGAATGACAGCGGCGACAACGGTGGATGAGAGAGAGGCGACGACGACGATGGAGAGATAGAGAGAGAGGCACTAACGGTGGCGGAGAGAGATTCGACGACGGAGGAGGCGAGAGATTCAATGCTATTTTGTCGTCCGGCGGAATAACGGTGTGATTTGTAATGCAAGCGATATACATTTGTATTGTTAGTATCTTTGTACATAATGTCATTGTGATTTGTAATGCAAATGTTATACATTTGTATTGTTAGTATATTTTTACATAATGTCATTATGATTTGTATATATTTGTAATGTAGTTTATATGCTTTGTAATATTAATTTGTATACTTTATATGTATTGATTTGTGATGCAAAACATGTCGATTTGTATTGCAAGTAATGATAATTTGTACTTTTAGTATGTTTCGTGTACAATGTTACTATCATTTCATTATAAATAATGATGTTTACAAATAAATCTTACAAATATTATAAAGCAGATTGATGACCATTACAAACCAGACGAACAAACATTACAAACTAGACAAACAAACATTACAAATTACAATGTATACTGACTCGTCCCGAATACCCAATAAATTCCTGCCTAAGGCCTAAGTATAAACGTTAACCGGGTGCAGTACATGATAAGTATGTTTAAATATCAACCCGGGCTGCTTCGTGTACCCCTACTTCAGTCATTTGAATCATTATCTGGTAACAAAGTTTTGGTTGAAAAGTTTGCTAACTAAAATAAAATAAGGCAAAGGTAAATGGTTTTGAAAGCTTTTTGTGAGAATGATCGTTCGGGTGTCACTTCCCCCTAACTACTACCATGGTATGTGAATTGAAACGGTAGCTATGGGCAAGGTAACCGCGAACCGTAGAGGGATGCAAATATGGTCGTAGACCACATTCTCGATTGCTAAACCGAGGTATACATTATAGGCCGTGTCACTCGGTCCTCTCGATTTAGGCAATCGGTGGTTGACTTACTCCCTCACTCAACTCAAGGGTTGGACGGCTTAATCGCTCTTAACCAATTTGCTTAATTCAACATTGAGGTTTGCCCTAAATTAACCTAAATTAGGTGGCTTGAAAAGCTAAAGGAAAACCAACTTGATTGAGTCTCCATTGGAAGGGGGATTTTCCTCTCTAGTCTAAGTTAAAGTGGCTAATTAGATTGCTAAAGCATCAACATGCACAAACCCAAGGATGCTAAGCACAATTATGCACAATCCTTAGGTTGCTAAGCACTAACATGCACAAACCTAAGGATGCTAAGCACAAAACATGGACAATCCTTAGATTGCTAATCACAAGCATGCACAATCATTGAATTAAATAATACCCAATGACAATCATTCAATTCACATAAAAGAAACTACATGGTAGCTAGTTAGGGTTTCACAACACCCAAGTGAAAAGAAATCTACTCCATGCTAGAAATCGGAGAAACACAAGGAGTAGAGGTAGAAACCATCTTGAGGGAGGCTTCCAATCTTCTAGACCCTTGTGCTGAACTTCTCTTGAGGAGAATCTTCCCAAATTCCACCTTGGAGCAAAACCCTAGCCTCTTTCTCCTTTGGTACGTGTTTCTCTCTCTAAAAATCAGAAGAAGGCTTTCTCACACAATGGGCTCTCTCCTCTCTTCCTTTCAGCTCAGCTTTTAAATAGTAAACGAGCTCAGTTCACGGCCTGAGTTCACGGTCAACAGCTTCTATTCACAGTCTTAGCGACCCTGAGCTCAATTAGCGTCAGTATATTGCATTGTGGCCCTGGAGGCCTCAATGTTCACGGCCAACGACTCTTCTTCACTGTCATACAAAACCGTGAACAACCAAGGCAAACCGTGAACTTACCGTTTTTCACCTCTTCTCCCCGTTTTTGCTCCTTTTCGGCCAACTTTCGACTCCAGGGCTGGTTTCATCTGTTAAATCCCAAAACACGCTAAAACACGAGAAACCTAGCGTAAAACCATCCTTTTAGGAGCACAATTGTTACAAACAAATAAGGAAAACAGGGGTAAAATATAGGTGAGTCGAGCGCGAGACCTGCCGCCTTCTTCTTATGAATTCAGGCGATGAAGAACCACTCCTGCAAAACCCTAATCGACACAATTGCCAGCCAAGTAAAGTGATAAAGTTTGATGTTTGATTCTCAGCTTCTCTCTTCGAGACTGTAATACGAAATAATCAGAAATGAATTGGATCAAATGTTAAGTTATATGTTATGATAGTGGGCTTGAAGCCCAAGAATTTGTTTCCGAAAGTGCTGGGCTTGGCCCTGTATGAATCCCAAAGCCTGCTGAAGACTTTTCTTCTTCAGCCACGATCACTCCTCTGCTTCAAGTGTTCCTCTGAACCTGAACAAACTGAATTGAAACAGAGCAACCACAATTCAAAGCAAGCAGGGAATGAACAACACACAGACTTTTACGTGGTATCTGATATTGGGAGAATAAGGATCCCAATATCGACTAATCCACGGTAGGGATATCTCCTCTTGAGAATCCCTACTTAACCACTAGAACGATTTCTTGATTCTTGTTAATCCTGAACCAACTAGAACAGATCAGCTCCCTGCTTTTCAGTCTAGCTATCTAAGCTGTATAATCACCCTGATCATACACCCTCAGACCCTTGCTATTCTCCCTGATTAGCTTACTTAGACTCTCAATTCAAACACACTGAACACACACAGTACACTGTTTGATTTTTCCTCTGAGAAGCGTGAGCTAGCTTCTGTTTGTTTGATCTTTTATATTCCTCCTTTTCTCGAGCTAGCCGTTAATGAACGATGATTTGATTCCCTGTAATTATGCTCTTTCTTTCCTTCCTTGAGAGTTGCCTTATATTGCTTGATTGCTTCTCTGATTCTTTCCTTCATTGACAAACTTCACTCAACATGCTCCCCCTAGGCTTGTCAATGAATCTTGTTTGCTACATCCTTTTCTTTCCTGCACACACTTAGCGCACAGTTGGTGCAGTCTGTTCCACACATAGGGCATAAACCAGGGAAGCTGTTTATTTCATTTTATTTGATGAATTTCAAGAGTACAACAATTGACATCAAATCAACATTCAAGCAAGACAAGACCACACATGACTCTACCATTCGACTGACACAACCCTACAAAGACTCAAACTACCAAGATCTCTTAAAAAGCTCTCCCTGAGCAGCAGCCTCATTCAGAAAGGATAGGAAGGAGGTGAATCATAATTTGATATGTCATCATCAGAGCTGGAGTCCGATGATATAGGATCGAAGTCATCTGGAGCGAGTCTTGCCTCATCAGCTTCCAACAGCTCTAGACGCTCCTTGTGCACAAGAAGACTAGTGGTCTTCCCATTTCCACCGACCTTTCTAGGCTTGATTTCACTATCTAGAGCTATAACTGCAGCTTGAGTTAGTGCTAGGATCAAGTGCACAACAGTTGGATCAAATGGATGACCATGAGAGAAAAGAGGATAGCAAGTGTCTCCCCCTGAGGCAGAGACAAGCTTACAACGCTCGACATTGGTATCCAGACGAACAAGGACATGATTGGGATGAAGATCCTCATGAACGTTGCAGAAAGCAACCTTGTCACGTAGATCAATTCCAAGACGATACAAGTAGCGAGTGATGAGTCGACCAAATGGTAGAGCTCCATTGAGAGAACCATTGCCAAATTGAATCATGTGAGCAAACACGAGGGAGGCATAGCTGATTGGCTGGCCCATTCGTGTGTTTGCCATGATCCAGAGATCAGGGGAGTGAAGCAGACCAGCACCAGTGACATCACGAGGCAGAAGGCAGCGAGTGATGAAAAAGTAGAGAACTTTCAGATCGTCAGGAAGAAGCCCAATAGATAACTGGTTGGGAAAGAACCTCCCAATATCTCCAGTCAAACGAGCAAGGGCAGAATCAAAGTCGAACCCATGCTTGTCAAAGTCACTAGCAAAACTAGCCTGAAGCCCAGAATGGGGTAGGGAAAGGACTAAGGCCAGTAGGGCAGGGGTGACCAAGACCTCATGGTCGTAAACTATGGTGGTGAAGGAACGAGGTTCAGCTCCCTTATCGGACCTAATATTGGCATAGAATAACCTGATAGCCTCAGGGCAATGTAGAAATCGTTGATCTTCAATCAACGAAGTCCACCCTAGGCCAACAAGGAGTGAAGGGATGTCCATATCATATTTGGAAAAGGCTGAAGGGGATATGGTGAAGGATGGATAGATAGGGCGATCACGATAGCAACGAAGGTATTTAGAATAGATGATGGCATTCCTGAACCCTTGATTTTTGAACACAACCACAGGTCGAAGTTGCGCGTTATTGAAGGCCATTTTGGTGAGGTGGAAGTGAGTACAGGAATGGTGTAGTGTGAAGAACGAAGAGAGGGGATCCCTAATTATAGAAGATATGGATGGAACTAAGAGGGTAAGTGTATCAATTGCTCACTGATTTCAGTGATTGACGACTGATTTATCGAAACTGAGTAATGAGAGAGAATGATGGTCACGAGATAAGTATCTTAGGAGATTAAGGAAACTAAGACAGCTGGAAATCCTAGATAATTTCCTCTATTTCTTCTAAGGAAAACAGTCCAAGTTCTCGTCGAATGGGTGAGAATTTATCAACTGGCAAGGGTTTTGTAAATATGTCAGCCCACTGTAAATCTGTCCCAACAAACTCTAAGTGTATTTTACCCTCATGAATTAATTCTCTAATGAAATGGTACCTAACCTCTATGTGTTTGGTATGAGAGTGTTGTATAGGATTTTTGGTCATGTTGATGGCGCTTGTGTTGTCACACATGATGGGCAGAGATCCCAGTTGAAGACCATAGTCCTCGAGCTGGTATTTCATCCAGAGCACTTGCGTGCAGCAAAATCCAGCAGCAATATACTCAGCCTCAGCTGTGGATAGAGCTACTGAGCTCTGTTTCTTACTAAACCATGACACGAGTGAGGTGCCTAGAAAGTGACATGCACCAGAAGTACTTTTCCTATCCACTACACAAACAGCGTAGTCAGAATCACTATAACTGATTAGGTTCAGGTTTGATGAGCTAGAGTACCAAAGACCTAGAGTGGGGGTTCCAGCCAGATAACGAAAAATTCGTTTTATGGCTGACAAATGACTTTCTTTGGGATTACTCTGAAACCTAGCACAGACACACAAGCTATACATGATGTCTGGACGACTTGCAGTGAGATACAGAAGATATCCTATTATACCACGGAATATTTTGCAATGTACTGGTTTTCCAGACTCATTCTGAGTTAATTTTACTGTAGATTCCATAGGTGTGGAGGCTACTTTTAAGTTTCCAAGGTCAAAACGTTTCAGCATATTTTGTAAGTATTTTGATTGACTTATGAAGACCCCCTGATTTGTTTGTTTCACTTGCAGACCAAGGAAATAGTTCAATTCCCCCATCAGACTCATTTCAAATGCATTTTTCATATCACTTTCAAATTCAGTGCACAATTTTTGACTTGTGGAGCCAAAGATTATGTCGTCAACATAGACTTGAACCAGTAAAGTGTGTTCATTTTCATTCTTAATAAACAGAGTTTTGTCCACCTGCCCACGATGGAACCCCTTTTCAATTAGAAAATTACTAAGTTTCTCATACCAGGATCTAGGAGCCTGCTTAAGTCCATACAGTGCTTTGTTAAGTTTAAAAACATAGTCTGGATGTTCTGAATCCTCAAATCCAGGAGGTTGAGAAACATAAACCTCTTCTTTTAGTTCCCCATTTAAGAAAGCACTTTTGACATCCATTTGAAAAAGTTTAAAACCTCTAGAAGCAGCATAAGCACATAATAGTCTAATGGCTTCTAATCTAGCTACAGGGGCAAAAGTTTCATCAATGTCAATCCCCTCTTCTTGACAGTAGCCTTGAGCTACTAACCTAGCTTTATTTCTAATTATAGATCCAAGTTCATCAATTTTATTCCGAAAAATCCATTTAGTTCCAATGATTATTCTATCCTTAGGTCTAGGGACTAAATCCCAGACATGAGTTCTGGCAACTGGTTCATTTCATCATGCATGGCTGCTGGACAGTACTTATTTTTAATGGCATCATCAACACATTTAGGTTCAAATTGAGCTACAAATGCAGTATGCTCAGCATAGGATCTAGAGCGAGTGGTCATACCTCGACTGAGATCCCCAATGATGAGAGATGGAGGATGTCGGCGAACAATTTGAGGTGGTGCCTGACAATGTTGATCCTTCTCTTCTGCGTTGTTTTCCTCATCTGGATGCAGGGTTTCTGGTTCCTGAACTGTTGGAGTGTCATGGCTCAAATGAGCTGTTCCCAATCCCAGGTCATCATCCTCATCTATACTGTCTGCACACTTACTGAAAGTCTCATCAAATAACACATTAATGGAATCCTCAACTTTGAAGGTCCGTTTATTAAAGATGCGATAGGCCCTGCTGTTTACAGCATACCCGAGAAAAATTGATTCATCTGATTTAGAATCAAATTTCCCCAAGTGATCTTTGGTATTTAAGGTGAAGCACTTGCACCCGAAGGGGTGAAAGTAACTTAGATTGGGCTTTCTATCTTTCCAGAGCTCATAGGGTGTTTTTATTAAGCTTAGATCTGATAAGAGCTCTGTTGGTGACATAACAAGCTGTATTAATAGCTTCTGCCCAGAATTTCTTTGCTGTTCCATGATCATTTAGCATAGTCCTTGCTATGTCAATCAAGGTCCTGTTCTTTCTTTCTACTACACCGTTCTGCTAAGGAGTCCTAGGTGCTGAAAAGTTGTGAGTTATTCCCTTCTTATTACAGAAAAGTTCAAATTTTTCAGATATGAACTCTCCGCCATGATCACTTCTTATGCTCCCTATTTTGGATTGTTTTTTAATTTTCAACTCTTTTAACAAAATCTTTGAAGCTTTGATAAGCCTCATCCTTTGTGGTTAAAAACAATACCCAGGTAAACCTTGAGTAGTCATCTACTATCACAAAGGCATAGTACTTACCACCTAGACTCATGACATTGCTAGGTCCGAAACGATCTAAGTGTAGTAATTCTAAAGGTCTAGAAGTGGAAATGATTGTCTTAGTTTTAAAGGAAGTTCTGGTGTGTTTTCCTTTTGCACAAGCATCACAGAAAAAGTACTTTTTACTTTGAAGTTTTGGGATCCCCCTCACGATATCTAAATTTACCAATCTTGATAGGATTCCAATACTTACATGTTCCAATCTTCTATGCCATTCAAATTGATCATCCTTGTTAACTGAGACTAGACATGTTTCATTAAAAGCAGATTGATAGACCATTGATTACACATGTTTTTACCCCTATCCTTGAGCCGTTTGAGATGTCGATTCTCGCGTTTTAGGACGATTTCACGCTAGGTTGTTCTTGTTTGTGATATTTCAAGTCCTAGTACGTGAATGAAGGTTTAGGAACGAGATCGGGGTCGATTGGACGAAGTTTGGAAGTTTGGCGAGAAGCTGAGAAGACACACGGGCATGCCTAAAAGCCACACGGCCGTGTAGGGGACCCCTGATGGCCGTGTGGAAATTCCAGTGAACTCACATGGGCACCCTGGGAAGCCACACGGCCGTGAGGGTTGTGGCCGTGTAGGAAGCCTGAAGCCACTTATCACAACGCTGCGGTTTGCACAACTCACACAGGCAGCTGGGGATGTCACACGGCCGTGTGGCCTGGCCGTGTGAGTCGGGATTTTCTGGTTTTAATCCAATTTTCAGCAGATGAGAAGGGAGTTCCGAGTTTTAGAGAAAGAAAGCGATTCCTAGAGAGAGAGAGTGACGAACCAGAGTTCCCAAGTGCCCTAGCTTGATCTTCATCACCATTGGAGCTCGGCTTACACTTGGAGAAGTGCCGATTGACGACCAGGAGCAGATTCTCATCCTTCATAGCATGATTTCTGCATCTGAACATGCTTTTGCTTCTCTCTCCATGGAGTAGTTTTCCCATTCATCTGGGTATGGAGAACCCTAGATTTGTGTGTTAGGTATGATTGTATGAACCCAAGTACAGATTCTATGATTTGATTATATTCAATTGAGGCTTGAATGATTGAATGACTTGAATCCTGATCAAATTCCTGTTATTTCTGCTTTAGCCTAGAAAGAGAATATCTGCCTAGGTTGATAGAGCACCCTTAATTGAAGGTACTGAATTGGCTACTTTAGTCGAGGATCCAATTCACTATTCTGTACCAAATTTACTTCGGTAGTGGAGGTTTGGTTCGTTAGGGCCTCAATCTGTTTACTCTGGTGGAGGTTAGTCGCCCGCTGGGGACTCAGATTGAGAGGGTCTAGAGATCTTTAGTCGAGACTTCAGACTGTTTAAGAACCTCCCGCAGTATAACTATCATTAAAACTGAACTTGGTAAATTGCAATCCGGCTTAACTGCAGTCTAGGGGGAACCATATCTGGGTGACCTCTCTCGACTTGAAAACAACCGTTTAATTGCTTTGCTTGTTTGCTTAATTGAACCTGCACTAAAGTTTCACTGCTAGATAATAAGAATTCACTGAGTAGTCATCACATCTAGGACCCGGGTTGACAATAAAACCCAAACCCGCTATACTACGCTCTAGGATGACAGTAGGAGTGAGTCATAGATTTATCTTCAAGATCTATTGAAAACAGCTTTCCTTTTCGTTTTCCTGTTAAAATTAGCTTGTGGCTTACTATGTTTTCAACAAAGCATTGATTTTGTTCAAAAACGACTCTGTTTTCGTTTCCACATAGCTGAACAATTGACAACAGACTATGTTTTAGGTCTTTAACCAGTAGCACATTACTGATAGATGGGACAGTTCCTACTGTGCCTTTCCCTAGGATTTCTGTGCTAAAGTTGTCACCAAAGAAGAATTTTCCTTTGTTTTCTAGCGTTAGTTTTGAAAAGAGATTCTTATTACCCATCATGTGGTGTGAGCATCCACTATCTAGTATCCAAACGCTGCCTTCCATGCTCACTTGGAGACAGGTCTGAGAGTTTTCTCCTTCGCAATCATCAATGGCCATGTATGCATTGTACTTGTGGTTGGTTTCATCCTCTTCTTCTTCTTCGTTGCAGCTCCAGGTGGCTGCAAATGCCTTGTCTTTCTTGCCTAGTGGGCACTCAGCTTTGATGTGCCCTGGTTTGCCGCATCTGAAGCATCCAGCTTGAGTCTGGATCTTTTCATTGCTTACCCCTTCTCTTCGATTCCTGAATCCTTGTCGTCCTCCTTTGTTACTTTCTTTTTCAAAGTCACCATCTCTCAATCTGTTTGAGAATCCTCCTCTCTTCTTTTCTCTTCTGATCTTGAGTAGTTTTGCCACGTGCTTGCTCAGCATTGCAAGCTCATCATCTTCCATCTCGTCCAGGCAATCCAGATCATCTTCTTGAGTTGTAGCCTTGAAAGCTATACTCTTCTTTTCTTTTCTTGGCTCTTCCAGGTCCTCTCTCTTCAGTTTATCTTCATGTGTGATGAGAGACCCGATCAATTCATCCAAGTTCAGCTTGGTGAGGTCTTCAGATTC